CTAAATTAAACTTTCACCCAAGCTTACATATTTTACTTCTCTGTCAGGAGTTACAAATTTTCTTCATCCGCAAGTAAAATTTTCTTTAAGCTTTGTGCTCACAGTATGCAAAGTGTTTACTATACGAAACAACAAATAGAAGTAAAGCAAAATTGTTTTAGTTTATTTGCCAAAGTATCCCCCCCCCCAAATTCCAGTTATGGACATCATTTCATATTGCTAAACTTTAAAGTAGTGTGTTTATTCCTCTGGCTTCTCAGAAGTCGACGAATTCGCATCGTCGGAGACCGTGTGTGGCAATGCGATTAGCACACAGTTTTCACAACAACCTGTACAGACATATGACCCTTGACCATCAATCAGTCTGCCAACGTGACTGGCCACAGCGTGATATTGTGTTAAGCGCCATAGCCGCGCACAGCCTCTGTCGATCAAAAAGTTAGTTTTTGGGGTGGTTTTCTGCAGAGCTGAATAATTCATTTGACCCAGTTGTGTGAAAAAATCGCCGGTTTTGGTGAGATTTGAACTCACGCCAACCAAGGGAAGGGGTTTAGTACACAACCAAGGCTCTAGTTACGAGGCCCCATCGGAAGTCGTGAGTTTAATCACATTTTGGGTTAATTTACGCGTGCGCAGCCTACTGCAAGGTATGGGGCCCACCAATTCTGATACAGTAAGCTGACTGCCAGCTGTACGGAAGCCTTCCTCCTCTTGCTGTTCTGGGCTCGAAACCCACCAAGACACTTGAATTTTAACAATTGAGTCAAAGGGAAAGTCGGTTTGGTCAACACGAGTTTTCAGCAACTCTTCATGAGGCCAGCACATTTGCATGGATGATAAAAATTTAGAAGAAGAAGAAGAAGAAGAAGAAGAAGAAGAAGAAAAAGAAGAAATCGTTGCGATCACAGGAATCGTAAATTATATTCTTCTGAGTTTTGGGGCTCTTGCAGGAGTCCATCGTCAGTGATAAACTGTCAACGAAATACGAGTAACAGTTATAGGGGGCAGGGACTAATCAACTATTGCGGGGGAAGGGGGGAGAAGGAGAAGGAGTAGGAGAGAGGTGGAGGAGGGGGGGAGACTCCTCTTCGCTCCCTCCATAACAGTTGATTGGTTCCTGCCCCCTATGATTGTTGCTCGCTTTTCGTTGACGGTTTATCTCTGACGATAGACTCCCCCAAGAGCCCGAAAGCTCAGAAGAATAAAATTACGATCCCGGTGATCGCAACGACTTCTTCTTCTAGATAAATACCTGGGATGCGAACCTTTGCCTCTATTCATAATGAAAGTTGGATAGTTGGACAGGATTAATAAGTGAACTTTTATTACAACTCATCGGAGGGGAGGGGGGAGGAAATTAGGTTAGGTTGTGGGCACTGATCAGAGGTCATATACATAGATTAATAATTACTGCTATTTGCCCGGAGCGAACGACTGTCACTGAGTTGAAGGAATTTTTCAAATCTGCCAAACCCCGTCTGTCCAAGCATGTTTTCCCACGCCATCATTCTGGAATCAAACAGATGACGCAATTAATTATTAGGAGGGTTTTATGTGGGTTCGAATCCCACCGAATTGCCGACGATTTTTTCATAACTGGGTCAAATAAAATTTTTTTTTGCTTGCGAAACATCTGAACGTAAACTCTCGGTTCCCAAACTTACTTCCTCCCCCTCATTCGCAATAGCGGACCAGCTTCATTTGCGTTAGTACTAACTCTGCAGACAGAGATCTGTTTTTTTGGTTTGCTAACCAGGTTTATTTTTTTGCCAGGTGGATTTCGTTGTTAGGGAATTGGATGCCCACCCAGTACTCCTCTACCAGGTATGTCCGTTTTCTTGCTGGGGTTGTTAAAACCTTCTCAGTGTAGCCCTGTCGCCATCTGAAGGCTTGAACGTGACCATGACTGCCCTCTCCTCTTAGATCCTTGAGGGGCTAGTTTCCTTTGAAGTGGGCCAAACTCTACCACATGCATTAACCCATCCGCATTTTTATTGAGTTCAGAAAATAACGTAAATTCTTAAATTTTCGTTTGGCACAAAAAAAAACTAGTTAAGCGGGATTTTAAGTACGTTTGCGGCTTTGACTGTTGGCATCTTGCGAAACACGAAACGTATACGGGTTCCTTGCGTTAGGATTAGTAAGCTTCTTGTTAGGCATACCGTTTGACAATTGAAAAAAAGCCGTCTTAACAGCCGGTTTGTACCAGTCTTAAAGTTAACAGGCTTTCCATAGACGCAACTCGAGGATATCTCTTTAGCCTCAGGTACAGTCAGCCGTCTCGACGAAGAACAGTATCTTCTTTTTTCACCCTGAGTATCGGAATTCCAGGATGCAGCATCCGATACAGTGCACTTACGCTTTTTCTATCTACCAACACCGGCCTCTGTTTGAAAGCTCCATTAAAAACTGCTAGGAATTCTTTTACGCTGCCCACTTTTTGGATTGTTGACGCGGACAGAAACCAGGGGAAAACAAACAGTTGGACTTAGGCCCATATAAATTAACTTTTCTCATAAATTTAAAACAAGCATAGATAGCAAGATTGGTTGAATTCAACAAATTTTACGACGGCGTTTCAACTGAATCCTGTCGTTGCATGAGTCAGATAACGGTTATAAGCATACAGCTAGTTAGTCGGCAGACTCGGTAACCATCAAGGATGCACGATGGGCGCGTCTCCGACACTCGGTGACATTCGCGTGACCT